ATGTGCCCTGTCATTTCAGGACGTGGACGATCATGGCACTCCGCACAATACATGATAATGACATGACTTCAGCTCAGAATTTCACATGGAAATAAAACCGGATAGTTTTCTCCTTTTGTTATGTGCCCTGTCATTTCAGGACGTGGACGATCATGGCCCTCCGCACAATACATGATAATGACATGACATCAGCTCAGAATTTCACATGGAAATAAAACCGGATAGTTTTCTCCTTCTTTTATGTGCCCTGTCATTTCAGGACGTGGACGATCATGGCCCTCCGCACAATACATGATAATGACATGACATCAGCTCAGAATTTCACATGGAAATAAAACCGGATAGTTTTCTCCTTCTTTTTTGTGCCCTGTCCCTTCAGGACATGGACAATCATGGCCCTCCGCACAATACATGATAATGACATGACATCAGCTCAGAATTTCACATGGAAATAAAACCGGATAGTTTTCTCCTTTTGTTATGTGCCCTGTCATTTCAGGACGTGGACGATCATGGCCCTCCGCACAATACATGATAATGACATGACATCAGCTCAGAATTTCACATGGAAATAAAACCGGATAGTTTTCTCCTTTTGTTATGTGCCCTGTCATTTCAGGACGTGGACGATCATGGCCCTCCGCACAATACATGATAATGACATGACTTCAGCTCAGAATTTCACATGGAAATAAAACCGGATAGTTTTCTCCTTTTGTTATGTGCCCTGTCATTTCAGGACGTGGACGATCATGGCCCTCCGCACAATACATGATAATGACATGACATCAGCTCAGAATTTCACATGGAAATAAAACCGGATAGTTTTCTCCTTCTTTTATGTGCCCTGTCATTTCAGGACGTGGACGATCATGGCCCTCCGCACAATACATGATAATCACATGACATCAGCTCAGAATTTCACATGGAAATATAACCGGATAGTTTTCTCTCCTTCTTTTATGCCCTGTCCTTCAGGGCGTGTACGATCATAGCCCTCCGCACAATACATGATAATGACATGACATCAGCTCAGAATTTCACATGGAAATATAACCGGATAGTTTTCTCCTTCTTTTTATGTGCCCTGTCATTTCAGGACGTGGACGATCATGGCCCTCCGCACAATACATGATAATGACATGACTTTAGCTCAGAATTTCACATGGAAATAAAACCGGATAGTTTTCTCCTTTTGTTATGTGCCCTGTCATTTCAGGACGTGGACGATCATGGCCCTCCGCACAATACATGATAATGACATGACATCAGCTCAGAATTTCACATGGAAATAAAACCGGATAGTTTTCTCCTTCTTTTATGTGCCCTGTCATTTCAGGACGTGGACGATCATGGCCCTCCGCACAATACATGATAATGACATGACATCAGCTCAGAATTTCACATGGAAATATAACCGGATAGTTTTCTCCTTCTTTTATGTGCCCTGTCATTTCAGGACGTGGACGATCATGGCCCTCCGCACAATACATGATAATGACATGACTTCAGCTCAGAATTTCACATGGAAATAAAACCGGATAGTTTTCTCCTTTTGTTATGTGCCCTGTAATTTCAGGACGTGGACGATCATGGCCCTCCGCAATACATGATAATGACATGACATCAGCTCAGAATTTCACATGGAAATAAAACCGGATAGTTTTCTCCTTTTGTTATTTGCCCTGTCATTTCAGGACGTGGACGATCATGGCCCTCCGCACAATACATGATAATGACATGACTTCAGCTCAGAATTTCACATGGAAATAAAACCGGATAGTTTTCTCCTTTTGTTATGTGCCCTGTCATTTCAAGACGTGGACGATCATGGCCCTCCGCACAATACATGATAATGACATGACATCAGCACAGAAATTTCACATGGAAATAAAACCGGATAGTTTTCTCCTTCTTTTATGTGCCCTGTCATTTCAGGACGTGGACGATCATGGCCCTCCGCACAATACATGATAATCACATGACATCAGCTCAGAATTTCACATGGAAATATAACCGGATAGTTTTCTCCTTCTTTTATGTGCCCTGTCCCTTCAGGGCGTGTACGATCATAGCCCTCCGCACAATACATGATAATGACATGACATCAGCTCAGAATTTCACATGGAAATAAAACCGGATAGTTTTCTCCTTTTGTTATGTGCCCTGTCATTTCAGGACGTGGACGATCATGGCCCTCCGCACAATACATGATAATGACATGACTTTAGCTCAGAATTTCACATGGAAATAAAACCGGATAGTTTTCTCCTTTTGTTATGTGCCCTGTCATTTCAGGACGTGGACGATCATGGCCCTCCGCACAATACATGATAATGACATGACATCAGCTCAGAATTTCACATGGAAATAAAACCGGATAGTTTTCTCCTTCTTTTTATGTGCCCTGTCATTTCAGGACGTGGACGATCATGGCCCTCCGCACAATACATGATAATCACATGACATCAGCTCAGAATTTCACATGGAAATATAACCGGATAGTTTTCTCCTTCTTTTTATGTGCCCTGTCACTTCAGGGCGTGTACGATCATAGCCCTCCGCACAATACATGATAATGACATGACATCAGCTCAGAATTTCACATGGAAATATAACCGGATAGTTTTCTCCTTCTTTTATGTGCCCTGTCATTTCAGGACGTGGACGATCATGGCCCTCCGCACAATACATGATAATGACATGACTTCAGCTCAGAATTTCACATGGAAATAAAACCGATAGTTTTCTCCTTTGTTATGTGCCCTGTAATTTCAGGACGTGGACGATCATGGCCCTCCGCACAATACATGATAATGACATGACATCAGCTCAGAATTTCACATGGAAATAAAACCGGATAGTTTTTCTTTTTTGTTATGTGCCCTGTCATTTCAGGACGTGGACGATCATGGCCCTCCGCACAATACATGATAATGACATGACTTCAGCTCAGAATTTCACATGGAAATAAAACCGGATAGTTTTCTCCTTTTGTTATGTGCCCTGTCATTTCAGGACGTGGACGATCATGGCCCTCCGCACAATACATGATAATGACATGACATCAGCTCAGAATTTCACATGGAAATAAAACCGGATAGTTTTCTCCTTCTTTTATGTGCCCTGTCATTTCAGGACGTAGACGATGATGGCCCTCCGCACAATACATGATAATCACATGACATCAGCTCAGAATTTCACATGGAAATATAACCGGATAGTTTTCTCCTTCTTTTATGTGCCATGTCCCTTCAGGGCGTGTACGATCATAGCCCTCCGCACAATACATGATAATGACATGACATCAGCTCAGAATTTCACATGGAAATATAACCGGATAGTTTTCTCCTTCTTTTATGTGCCCTGTCATTTCAGGACGTGGACGATCATGGCCCTCCGCACAATACATGATAATGACATGACTTTAGCTCAGAATTTCACATGGAAATAAAACCGGATAGTTTTCTCCTTTTGTTATGTGCCCTGTCATTTCAGGACGTGGACGATCATGGCCCTCCGCACAATACATGATAATGACATGACATCAGCTCAGAATTTCACATGGAAATAAAACCGGATAGTTTTCTCCTTCTTTTATGTGCCTTGTCCTATCAGGACGTGGACGATCATGGCCCTCCGCACAATACATGATAATGACATGACATCAGCTCAGAATTTCAAATGGAAATAAAACCGGATAGTTTTCTCCTTCTTTTATGTGCTTTGTCCCTTCAGGGCGTGTACGATCATAGCCCTCCACACAATACATGATAATGACATGACATCAGCTCAGAATTTCACATGGAAATAAAACCGGATAGTTTTCTCCTTCTTTTATGTGCCCTGTCCCTTCAGGCCGTGGACGATCATGGCCCTCCGCACAATACATGATAATGACATGACATCAGCTCAGAATTTCACATGGAAATAAAACCGGATAGTTTCTCCTTCTTTTATGTGCCCTGTCCCTTCAGGCCGTGGACGATCATGGCCCTCCGCACATTACATGATAATGACATGACATCAGCTCAGAATTCCACATGGAAATATAACAGGATAGTTTTCTCCTTCTTTTATGTGCCCTGTCCCTTCAGGGCGTGTACGATCATAGCCCTCCACACAATACATGATAATGACATGACATCAGCTCAGAATTTCACATGGAAATAAAACCGGATAGTTTCTCCTTCTTTTATGTGCCCTGTCCCTTCAGGGCGTGTACGATCTTAGCCCTCCACACAATACATGATAATGACATGACATCAGCTCAGAATTTCCCATGGAAATATAACAGGATAGTTTCTCCTTCTTTTATGTGCCCTGTCCCTTCAGGACGTGGACGATCATGGCTCTCCACACAATACATGATAATGACATGACATAGTGTTCAGATTTTCACATGGAAATAAAACCGGATAGTTTTCTCCTTCTTTAATTGCCCTGTCCCTTCAGGACTTGTCCGATCGTGCCTCTCCAAAACTTCTTTCCTTTTCTTGGCCTAAATAATTTTTAACCCTTTGCCATCCCTCTTCGTTCTTCTTCTTTTATCTACTCACACAATCTTGTTTAATCTATGACTCGATGTTTTTCCTTATTTCTCTCTCCTTCTATATATCCTCTGAGTGTTAAATTTTCCAAATCTTCTTTCCTCATTCTTTCTCCCAGAAATTTCAGCCGTTTCTGATTGTTCGTATCGCTTTGCTTCTTGTTCCCATTTTCTTGAAGACGTTCTCTTTAATGCCAGATTCTATCTAATGAATTATCAGAATTCGTTGGTGGAACCATATTTCTCTTGCTTCACGTCTCTTCTTCATCTGTGAGGAAATTTCCCAGCATTCACTTCCATTTATCTTATCAGTTACTCTCTTGCAATCAGGCACATTTTCTTTGTATCGGAGCAAATTTTTCGACCCCCTTAAAACTGTAGGCAATAGAAATCCGGTCCTTATCAATCCTTTTTTTTTTTTTTTTTTTTGAAATCGAAACCTATTTTGACTTACGGTCATATTACGTTGAAACACCGGTTCTCATACGTTTACAGAAGTTAAGCAATATCGTTTCTGGTCAGTACCTAGATTGGTGACCTCGTAGGAATACCAGGTGCTTTACGTTTGGATATGCTGGTAGTTTAATGGATAACAGCTCGGAGTTGTTAATCGGAGTGTTGAGTTCTAATTCGAGTTGGGTTTGTTATATTCACGCACAAATAGCCTCTTCTTCCCACCCATTCCCAGCTATTGATACGTGGAATTTGTAACACTGAATTATTGTTTTTTCTCATAAAAAATAGTACAATCCAAAGATGTTTTTCGACTTTTTTTTTTTTAGTGTCATCAACTTTTGTGTTATATTTAATGCGGAAAAACTAAATATTTTGTACGCAATTTTATTTTTCGTGATAATAATGGTGATACAACTCTTATGAATTAACTCCTAGCTTGAGGGAGAAGCGGTGGATTTATATTCTGGCTTTGAATGATCTACACAGGTTTGATAATTCATAAAAAAAATAAATCAATTATCAAAATGAAAGAAACGTATTTAGGATGATGAGAATAATTCTATTTTTTTCTTGTACGAGTGAATATTTCTTTAACATTTTTTTTTTTTTTTGAGAATGAAAATATAAAAATGATCTTTCCAGATCCAATCCTCATTATAGCCGATGGAAGGAGATATACTCATCTTGATTGTTATATTTCCAACGTTTGTACATTGTACCCTTCTCTTTCCCGTATCTCTTTTGTCTGTAATATTCTCGGAATTTCGAACAAAAGCCTTCATTTAATCTGCGTTTTTTGTTGTTTTTTTTTTGTTGTTTTTTTTTCTCATTTCGCTTTTCATTGTTATAACAGCCTACCACTTAAAATAATGCCAATCGAATGTTCTGTGCACCACCTACCAATACGTTCTCGTGGTTATCAGTAGTTAATGCGCTCTATTTCGCAGTCTACCTTCGATTGGTTTTACTGAGCACCCCCATCACTGATGTTAGGCTTACGGCCATATCGTGTTGAAACACCGGTTTCCGTACGATCACTTAAGTTAAGCAACGTCAATACCTATTGGTAATACTGTAAGCTTGGATGAGCGTGTGGCTCGAAATTGTTAATCGGAGATCCGAATTATAATTCCAGTTGGGTTTTGTTAATCTTTACTTAGCTCAAATACCCTTAGCAAAGGCATGAATCCATCTTTTCTCCCTCCAGCTAAAGGTTGATTAGTAACTCTTGTATCCCTAAAATCATTATTACCTCTCCCCACACCAAATTCTTAAAATCTAAATATATTTAAATAACCTGCAAATGGTCGATAAGCCGTAGAAAATGAAAGAAACAATCAATCTTTTATTCCTAGTAGGCCCTTGCGTTTCTGTGGCGTTGTCCCCTTGCTTGTGGTGAACTGATAGCTAAAAGGAATCGATGAAAAGTATTAGCCAATCAGAAGGCCTGTAGAAATTGACACAGCTTGGGTGAGAGATATAGCCTCCTCCTTCCTCACCTGACTTTTCACTTTCGGATTAACATTCGGAAATAATTTATCTAGAAACCTCCTTAAGCCGCTTAGAATAGTTCATCACCCAGAAAGATGCCAAGTTTTGGAAATCATAAAGATGCCGAAAGATAGTAGAATAAAATGTGGTTGAATAAATATATATGCAAATATTTAAATATTGTTATTAAAATTCATTTTAAAAAGCTACGAAATTTTGTCCAGGCCCAACATTGAGGGTGTGGCAGTACATTTAGCCATTAATCATTTTATCATAAAATAAAATGTTCAAAAGCTACAGGTTGATTGTTATATGCGCTGACAATAGTTTTATTGTATTTATCATTCAAAATGATGGGTAAGCTTTTGCTTTCATCATGGCCCTTAATCTTTTCTCATCTAAGGTGCATAACTTCTTCAAAACTCTTCGCTAACATTACACCATGACGTCGTAAGAGCTTCTTTCAGGTCTAACTTACATTTTTATCATTTCACCCTAAGCAAGGCAATAAAGCCACTAAGATTAAAGTGGGGGGTGTTACTGAATGCTAGTGAATATGAGAAAATAAAAACACTATTAAGGAGAGAGAATAGTAAAAGAACAAAAATTAAAAAAACAGAAAATGACGATTGACATTGCATTTAAAATTCCACATATTTCATATGAAAACGAACCGATGCATTGTGAAACCGATTCTCAAGAGGATGCTTCTCCCGATCAATACAATCTAAACTTGTTCAACTCAAGCATTAACTGTTATCTTCCGCACATATCCGCATATGGTGAACTTCATACCCTGTGACCCTCTACCTCGTGTGTCGAGCCTTGTACAGAGTAAACATCATTGTAAAAAGAAAGAGATACGGGAAACATTGCTCTCTAATAGGGGCCATATCGCAAAGACCACAGGGTTAATGTCAGGGTTTGATGAAGGTCAAATTGATTTGTCCCAGAATCCACGGCGATGTCATTTGAACTAGTCCTGCGTCAAATTGACTGTTTATACCGGAGCTTTGTCTTGAGTGAAAATATAACGACTTCCAAATGTGGCTGACAATCAGAGCAACACATCTCTCTCCAATAAATTCTGCTATTCATTTTCACTCTTTTTGGAATGGACGATTTCGAACCATCAGAAAAAAAGAGAAACTCTGACACTAGTTGATGTCTCTCTCCCTCGAAATGAATTCTGTCACATTCGGAAATGTTTCCTGGATAAGTGGCGTAAACCCTATCCTTTTTTTTATAGTTAACCACCAGGAAAATAATTCTCGTCTAACCAAACGAAAACTGTCGTCTGCCGTCTACAGTATTTCCTCTAATATTGACTTCCCTCTGCCATTTTACTTCGTGGTACTTGAGAGAAAATGTTGTCATTGAATCTTGTAATGTTTTAGCCTTAAATTTCGGAATCCTCTTAACGACCTCACAGAAATATCGAGATAATTTATCATCTTCATATATTCATATGTTTAAATAATGGGTACATTATTATGTTTAAATAATGGGAACATTTTTATGTTTAAATAAAGGCTAAATTTATATGTTTAAAAAATGTGTAAATTTATGTTTAAATAATGCGTACATTTTTATGGTTAAGTAAAGGGCAATTATATATGTTTAAATAATGGGCACATTTATATGTTTAAATAATGGGTACATTTATATGTTTAAATAATGCGTACATTATTATGGTTAAGTAAAGGGTAATTATATATGTTTAAATAATGGGTACATTTTTATGTTTAAATAATGGGTAAATATATATCTTTAAATAATGGGTAAATTTATATTTTTAAATAATGGGTACATTTATATGTTTAAATAATAACAATTTAAACATAAAAATGTACCCATTATTTAGACAAATATAATTACACTTTACTTAACCATAAGAATGTACGCAGTATTCAAACATATAAATGTACCCACTATTTATACATAAATCTACCCTTTATTTAAATATATATAATTACCCTTTATTTAAATATATATAATTACCCTTCATGCACGCATGTATGAGAGGGACATGAAGACCACGAAAAGTGGGGTTCACCAGGAATCAGTGCACGTACAAAGCTTTGCTCTTCAACTGGGACTCCTGGAAGTAAAAAAAGATAATATCAATAAAATAACCCCGAAATAATCACCCAGGTAAAATAAATTTATTAAACTGCACAATATTTCGCTGCCTGTTTTATGAAGATACCAGATTTTACAGAAATATTTGCTTTGACTGGTATATTGCTGTTTGCATTGTGTGTGTTTTTGTTGATATCCAGGTATTGGAATTATTCTTTTGCATGTAAGGTATGAACTTCATTTACCAACGAGGACTATATTTCTGTTTCTTTTCTTATTAGCATATGCGTCAGTTTTTACTGATACCAACAGATTTCTTTGTAACTATTATGAATTTACTTTATGCGCTGATTGTTGTTCCCTGAAAAAAAAAAACTAAAACAATTTAATGTACTAAAATTCTTCTTTTTCATTTGTTTCAATACTGTAAGTGTTTCTTCGTGGTTAGTGAGAAGGTCACATAAAAGTAAGGTTATAATTTCGGTATTTTTGTTGTGATGTGTGCATTTTTTTTTATCCTAAATATTCGAAAATCCAAATATTCAAAAATTTAGACGCGTACAATGCGTGGATGCAGCCAATAGGCAGGCACACACGGTATGTCTTCTGTTTTTAGACAGGATTTTCTTGCTGCTTTATATCCTCAAAGGCGTCAGGCGGCTTCGACCATAGCTGTTTTTAAATGAGATTTTACTTTTAGATTCATTAAGGTTGTCCAGTTTCTGATGCGCAAAACCCAATATATACGTGTCAACTTCCCCTTTCTTTTGTACTCTATAAAAAAAAAATCTGTCATGAATTTAAAACAAAAGTGATAGAGAAACAACATCGAAACATGGTGAGAATAAGAAGAAAAAAAGAAAAAAGAAAAGAAAGAACGAAAGAAAGAAAAAAGAAAGAATATATGAAAGAGCGGAATTAAAAAAAAACTGACAAAGAATTAGGAAAACATGCAGTTTGATTAGGAAAAAGCCAAAGCTGAAAAAGAATGCGTACAAGAAAGATAAATGTTAGAAAAGAATTTGGAATTGAAATAAAAAGAGTCGAATAATAACAATTATAAGTCAAAAAGGCGGTAAAACAGAATCGTATGGGGTGCAAATGGAACAATAATAGAAAAATCTGGGATAAAATGAATACGAAATGTCCCCTGTGGAAAGCAGAACGTAAAATAAATAAATAACGTAAATAATTCAATAGAACGAATCAAGAAAATAAAAAAAGTCTTCTGGCAAAGAATTAAATAAGTAATAAAAGAAAAGTCAAATCAAATACGAAAAGTGAAATAAAAACAAAGAGGTGACTAGATGAGTGCCAAACAAGAACAAAAAAATAAAGAAATAAGAACTAAAGAATCCGGAAAATACAGAAAACGAAACAGAAATAAATTGGCTTCGGTTCCGATTTGGCTTTTCAAACATGAAGCTCTTAATACGGTGTTAATGTCAGTTTCGCGCCTCGCTCTGAATCACTGCTCAGAAAGCTGGTCTCTAAGGGCGTCAGTGTTATACGGATTTCCATCTGTACCGC